TCCAAGCCAATGAGAAGCACAAAGAAAAACAAAACAACGAGTGTTCCAGTTTTATTTGGTGGACGACACACGCCAAAAATGCAAATGCGTGAATTATTCATGTTGTCCAAGAATTTTTTTTTTATCGTTGACGGTCTCGATTAGCTGTCCAAAAATTAAGCGAGTAGTGTTTTTATATACATGTCTTATGGCTGAATTTAGAAATTACGCGTACGAAAATAATTTGATCGACACGCGTGAGACCTAATATAACATTTACTAATTCCATTGTGAATTTCCTTTATTTCATATTTTCTTTCAAACTTGAGATCATAAAGCGCAGTTAAAATGTAGTACTTCTTATAAACGACAGGTGGATGATTCAATAGATATTAATAAAAACTTGTTTTTATAGTTTATTGCAAACTTGAATATATTGCAGAAGATTGTTTTTATTTCGATAAAATATAATAGTCTCATAAAATTGTCAATCAAACCGTTACATCTCCTGTTTGAATTAAATGTGCGATTGTAGTACTAATCATTTAGCGGCAGATGGGAAAACCAATGGATATTCCTTTAAAGACCAAAACCTTAATATTATATTTATATAAACAATCATTCATTAGCAAAATAATACTTACTACCATTGTAAATTTATTTAATATAATATAGCAATAATATTATCTCTTCGATTCGAAAACAAAAATACTATTTGATCCGATTCTAAAAAAAATGAAAAATAAAATCTACGTACAGTTGTAAAATCGCGATAACGCAATATCCTTTCGCACGCAATTGCCAAGCAAGCTCGATTCCGCCCCTGTTAAAAATGAGAAGGTAGCAAGGCATATATCGATTGACATTAAAAACAAGCGCGAGAGAGCTAATACACGGCTGCGCATGCATGGGAGATGCGTATAATGTGTTGCTGCTGTGCACACTCGCTCTTTCTTCAAAGAGAGAGAGAGAGAGAGAGAGAGAGAGAGAGAGAGAGAGAGAGAGAGAGAAGGAGAGAGGAGAGAAAAGGCGATATGAAGAAGGAGGTAGCTGAAACGGCATGAGAGAAAAGATCGCTGAGATGCGAAACAGGTATATACGCGCCGTACGCGTATGTCTATACACTAACGGCCAAAAGTATTCTTTGGGCCTCCGAGCGTCAGGCGCGCAAAGTCCTTTCTGTGGTTTGGGCTTTTCGCGCCTCACTTCGCTCGCTAGTGTCTGATCAAGCGAGCTCACTTATCGTCACTAGCCGTTTATCATGGATAACGACGACGCAAGTTTTCGGATCGAGCCTCGTTTGTTTTCGCTATGTTTTCCGAGCTTATCGATCGGTAATACTGCGTTCAAAGCGAGTCAATACTGTACATAAATGAACGGAAATGTGCCTGCCGCAGATACGCAATTTTCAGGAAAACATACTATTCGTGACAGCTCGATAACGTCACGTACATTGTGCAACGTGCAATTCTTTCTTCCTACTAGCATTGTAATTTTTGTCTCCGTCGACCTATAATTTGGATCTGCAGCCGATCGATAATGTCGACCCGGAGCAAAACAATAATTTGAGTGAAAAATTATCGGCGACCGTCTGTAATTTTGACAAGAGCACGCATACGCAACTAATTCGCGGCTGGCTGGCTGGCTGGCTCGCAGAAATCGAGTGACGGCGGCCGGAATCGGCAAATACTTTTGGCGGTGTCTGTATCTCCTACCTGTTTCCCGGCTTGCTCGCAAGATTGAAACATGCAAGTTGCATTATCGAATCTCTATCCCTATCCCCCCTCCCCGCTCGTATCCTCCATACGAACGATTCGCATTTGCATATTCGAAGAAGGCTGCTGCTGCTGCTGCTGCTGCTGCTGCTGCTGTTGTTGTTGGTGTAGAGATGATCTGGCCTCGCGGCACGCGTTACGCGCCGAGTGAAAAATGCGAACGAACCGGTAGTCGGGCGCTGAGCAACGACGCGGGTGTACATAAAGCTAATTATCAGCGAGAATTGGCGCGGTCGGCGCGCCATTCCCCCCGCATCGTGCCGGCTTCTTTCGGCGACGCGTCCGCGCTCCGAGGGACGAACGTGCAGCGATGCGCGCGGTCGTTCTTGATCGGATGCCCAGCTTGATAGGTGAATCGCTCGCGGGTATCGGCGAACATTCGTTTTTATGCTCGGAGGGCTAATGACGCGAGCCCTCGTGGGAACAACAAAGCGAGGCCTACCGAAATATTCGGCCATTCCGCTTGAGCTTCATTAACGGCAGAGCGCATCGCGATCGCGATGAAATTGCAGCTGCTTCGGATATCGTTTTAGTCATCAGACTGCCGTACAGAGTAACGGTCGCGAGAAACATTGCGGTAATCAGCTTTTTTTCTCCTCCTCGCTCCCCAAACATTCTCATTGTAGATGAAAAAAGGAAAAGAAAAATAAAAAATAAAAGAAAGGAAAAAGGATCCGTTCGTAATTGCACTGTAAATTACATAGTATCCTCGAACAATTTCAATTCCGGCGAAAAATACAGATTACCGCGAAACGAGCGCGCGGCACCGGGCGGGAAAAAAATACATTTCAATTTGAAGAGGTCCCTCGATTACAAGCGACGAAAGGCAGCGTGCGCGCACGAAATTGCCGCCCTGCTAACGAAAAAACAAAGAAAGGGGGACGAGGAGAGCGAAGGCAAGGGCTTCCGAAGCGATAACTGACAGGCCGAGGAGTCGCGTCGCGAGTGAAGTCGTCGTGTGCAGTGCCGATGAATTTATTCATGGCATCGCTAATCAGATGAATTCGAGTCTCATCGATGGCGGGGAGCTCAATCAGCTCGTCAAATCAAAGAGTGCGACGAAATAAATCGCGGAATGCGCTCCGAGACGGCGACTCGGATATCGGCCAATCGGTCTTTTGATACCTGTCGCCCCGTCCGATGATTGCTCGAGATGCAAATACCCGTGCAGAGTCCGCTCGATTGGCAAGATAAACGGGGCCTGCTCGGCTCAGACGGACGTCGGGATTATGAAGTAGCCGAGCTGCTGACTTTTGAAACCGATGAAACGCTTTGCTTTAGATTAGCGCCCGTATTATAATAGACGCGACGCGCAAATAAAGAAATTACGTGATTTTAAATCTGGATAAGGTTTCCATGGGAATCTGACTCGTTATTTTTTTTTTGTTCTTTTTTTCTCTCCAACTCCGTTTATCTGTGAGCGCGCAGTTCCGAGATGCGATGAGCGATGGCTTGTTGGTTTCTCGATAAAACGTCCCGATAAAGCCGTGCTGCTCCATTGTTGCCTGACAAAGTGCTGTGCGCCGCGGGGGATATTAGCTATGTGCCGATGTCCTTTTCGCAAAAAAGAAAAGTAGATCGCAGGGATAATGAAAGCTATTCGTTTTCAGCATCTCCGTCTTACAAAATTTGAGTGGCGAACACTCTTCTAAATTTAGAACGTGACAGTTTGTTATTCGAGCAATATGGAAATCAGACTATCAACAGGTCAAGTTATCACACTACTACGTTTATCATGTCCCCACTTTGCCAATTGCAGTTACGCACGCAACGATTATCGCACAAAGTTCAAGTTCAGCGGCGGGTCTTATCGTGCTCTAATTACGTTATGTCAGAGACATATTTCAGAAATCTTTTTCTTCGGCTTTATTGGATTGGACGCGTTTCGTTAGGGAAAGATGAAAAGGGCATGGACTTTTGGTGTCGAGAAAACCAAGTTAACTTTTTGAAACGGATATGCTTTTAATGAAATTCGACGTTAATTCGTGCTTTGATATCTTACGCGTTGGATTTGCCTCCCATCGAAAATGCAAATTAATGCTCTATCATTCGGACGTTATAGCGCTTTTACATAATAAATTTGCGGAGACTATTCAACCAGTCCTCGTTGATTTTGAAAATAATCAAGAGAACGTCAGGCTGATATTGCAGTGAATATAAATTTGCAACGTTATTTAATGCGTAAGAGTGCGCTCTCGTAACTCCATTTGACGATTCGTCCTCGGTGCAGATTATAAAATGTTATTAGCTTTTTAAAGGGACAAAGTTAACGTCTAGGTGAGATTTATGGAAAAAATCTATAAAAAATGTTGTTTCTACAGCCCATATGCAACTTCTCGCTAACAGCCTATTTCGCGCACACATTGCCGACTAAGATAGAAAAATATATGTGTACACATGGGCTAAGCAGCAGCATCTCACTTGATCCCCTTAGCAGCGCAAATACAGGCGCTAAATGGGAATGCAAATTAATAACTGGAATTAGGATAATGTCGTAGCGACGGACGAGTACCTGGCCGCGCGCCACGCTTTTGTCCCCATACGCGAAATGATATCATATATATTGTGCAAAGCGAAGACAATGACGGCTAGTATGTGCGTGTTGGCCGAAGAGTTACAAAGTAAATGACGGAGGGAAATTCATAAGCGCTCGGTATGATTCACGTCCGTTTGCCCAGACGAGACCCCACGTTGGCAACACATTAAATATCACGAATTTACGACCAATACACATTTTACTTTCGCTCCCTCGAATGTGCCTCGAGTGCAAGCTCCAAATGCAATATTGTTCAAATGTGTGATTTAAGACGTCTAATAAAACGAGGATGCCTCTTTCGACGCTCGATTGATGGCTTTTAATTTGGAGGTGTAAAAGGGATGCAATTGAGATATCGCACCGACCGGAGAAAGCCATGTCGTCTCATTGGTACCACATATTTTTCCAAATTAAATCGTGTGATTTACATCGAGAATTTGAAGCTTGTCAAATCAGCGAACGTCACCAACGAAATGCTTTGCATTTAACAAGTTGTTAGCCGGCTCCTATTATCTTTTCAACTGAGTCTTTCAATTTTATCGTCCATTAGCCGTTAATTGTTCGCAGCCAGTGCCTCCTTAGCTCGACTCGCTCCTTGGCTCGTTCAATTTTATTTTCCATTTGGCTCGATTGTCCGTCCGTCTCTTTACTACCCCTGTGTCGCTGATATTTATGACTGGCGCTCATAAGTGCTTCTGTCTGCGTTGCAGGATGCCGGATGAAGCTGGTGGTGGCGGTGGCGGTGGTCTGAAGGGGAGATTCGCAGCCGCCCCCGGCACGAGGAGGACACTGCTGGCGCTGCTGATGCTGCTTGTTATGTCACATGCCGCAGTCAAAGGTGAGTCCTTTCGTTCTTCTTTCCTTTTTTTTCCAGACGGTCGTCAAAGGGAGACCGACCCTTTTTTTACAATCGTACTTCAAGACTGCAATAGAAGATTATGAATACGTTACAATGATCCGTGCGATACGTTAAATTACTCAGCGAAATTTCATTCCTCCAGCTTTTGTCTTCATATATTTAAAAAATATTATTGCAAGGTGAACATTTTTTTATTGAAAGAGAAGCTATTTTCAGCTAAAAAATTGAGTTTGTAGTTATTCAAAAAGAAAAACACAAATGCTAATGTGTTAATATTGATGCCAAAGCAATAACTAGGAATAAGCAATCGGTAACTCTCGGGGGTGATCGTCAGTATGTTGTTCATGCGCAGGGGGACAAAGGTAAGGCAACAGTCTCGAGGCGCCTAATAATAATAATAATAATTTGGCGGCAAATCGAAAGAAGCGCCGTCACGTCGGGACCAATAATTTATTGTGGCATTATGCGGCGGCGGCGACTGATAGCGCGCGAAAATCACAGCGGCGGCGCGCGTAATGATACTTAGGTGCAGTAGCGAACTGCTGCAGGCCTCCTTTCGAAGGTAATTGCGCGTGTTTGCGTCAGGAGATTAACTCCTCCGACTGCTGGCTGCCCTTTAATGAGGCGCTGCTGCTGTAGCGTGGGAGAGAGATTTTTCGAAAATTTTATTCCGCGGATTATCAGCTCCAACGAATAAGCGAAAAATATAAAGGTACTCTTGCTTCTTCTTCGCGTATCAGAGCTGTGATGCTTCTGGCAATTAGCACCCGGGTTTTTTTTTTCTTCTTTGTTTAGGCGAACGACGAAACGCGAAATGCCGCGCGCTCACGCGCACGAGTGAGAAGAATGCAGATAAGTTGATGCATTTTTGAGAGATGTGAATTTTGGCTTGGAGGTAAGCAGTTTGCTCGTGCTTATTTTTCGAGATCGCGTTCGCGATGCTTCAACCTTGAGAAAAGTTGCTTTCGAAAAATAAAAATGTAATGTCTTACTTCGATCGATATCCACTTACTGCAAAAATTTTTCCTGCCGAATATAAAAGTTTTTTTTTTTTGCTGATCATGTCTTCCATACGAAGGTATATGGAAGAAAACTTAAACAGGGATCGTCTTCTGCAAATAAAAAAGCGTATGAAATCGATCAAATTTTGAGATGCACACATAAGGCACTCTCAATTTCATTAAATTTAATTTGAATCCAAATTATCTCTATTAAATCAAAATTCCGCCCTGCATGCAAGGTCATTCGTTTACCGAACGTACTACAAAGGCGTCAGCTCATCGATCGACACCAAAGCCTCTTTCACCAGATTTATATAAATTAGCACTGGCACGAGCATTACGCATAGCACAATGGAAAGAATAGGTTTCGGAGTCGCACTGGTATTCAAGGCACTTCTATCCTTTAGCTTGATCGCGCTCCCATTCATTAAGCCTCGTTTTCGCTATTACTAAGAATACTTCCTGCTGGAATTGGAAACGAATAAGCTGATTGTTTCCGCTTCAGTATTGAAAATGGAGTTTTTGCTCTTTCTCCTTCGGCGAAGTATTTTTCTCGAGCAGTATTACTCTGTGTGCACTCGAATGAAACGTAAACATCACTTCATCCAAGTTTTCGTAAACTATATATACTTACGTGCAGGCGCGTGTGTGTGGTGTGTGCTGAAGTACAGTCAAAAACAGAAATCTATAAATAAAGTACTTGGCTCCACGGAAAGATCGGAGCTTCTCGAAGAAAATTTCTTGTTCCGATCGAGATTCATAGCCTTGGAGCGTGTGCACGAGATATAAAGGTATTTTCACTCGGAATTCAGGTTCCATAATATCTCGCGCGAACTCTGCGATTTGATTTAGTCTTGGGGCAAGAATATGAAAGAGTGCAGTGGCCCAGTTATGCTATAGCACGTGCGCTGCAAAAATCGAACTAGCGCATTTATCCGACGGGACTTACGTGCGAAATGACGACCCATTACTTTGTAATCCTCGACTTCGCAAATGGCGTTCTTCCGAAAGGTACAGCGCTAGGTGCACGTATACCATTTATTTACGATGAATCTCAGAGACCTATCGGTCGTCGTCAGCCGTCCATATTTATCAACCACCGAAGAACAATCGAAGCCAAACGGGTGAGCAGTGGACACAACGAGTCGTCATCTCTGCAATGACCCTCGCCGCAGACCTCGTGAATTATGAATTAATTCCGGAGTCAATGGCGTTCCTTTTTTTTCTTGTCTGTTTCTTTGTCTTTTTTTGTTTTTTTTTGTTTTTTTTTTGCTTTGGAATTAGAATCGACGTCGTCGCGGCCATAAATTTCATCACTTTTTGCGCGCTCGTCAGTGTGTATCGATTCAGCAGCCTCGCCAACAAGCGATGGAAATTTCACTTCTTCGCGGGCAAAAACTCGCTCGCCCGTGCGTGCGCTCGTTAAAAAAGAAGTTAAAGATCGCCGGAAGAATTTTTCGCGCGAATCGCTTTGAATTTCACCGGGCTCGCCGAATTAATCCGCGCTTTATCGAGGCTTTATTGTGGAGAAAGAAAGAGAGAGAGAGGGAGAGAGAGAGGGAAGTGGGGCGAACGAGTAATAAGGGAAGTGCGCCGGGAATTTCCGATGCTATTATTTATCGCCACGACGTGCGGCGTTGCGCAATGCCACCACCGCCGCTTGCTGATATAACGCTGCTGTGAAACTCTCTTGCAATTTCAACGAAGGCACTGATATTTTAATGCACTTTAATTATTCAATTTCGACATTGTATCACGTTTGTGCAATAAAAATCATGGCATCCTCGTATTTGAAAACCAGCGTCTCAAATATCCAAGTAATTTCGTAGTTAGTCGATTTTTCCTCCAACTCGTCTCGGAAAGAAAGGAAGAAAATCAGTATCACGCCGCAAGATGAAATTCTTCCTACCGAGTAAGTCTTAGCTCTTGTACGTGTAAAAATTTTTGCTGGGCGTCATATCATTTTCAGCTGCTGCATTCGTAATTTTGCGTGGAAGAGGCAAACAAACAAGAAAGAGCTACGTACAACCAGTCGCCTTTCCATATTTACGACAAATATTCTCTCTCGGTACATTCAAGAGAGGAAACCTTGAGAGAGTATATGCAGCCTGCGGAGATAGAAGGGGGTCTTCCTTGTTTACTATGGCATACCCCTCGAGCGCCAATCTGATCCGGAATCACACGATCGATTTATTCGGCAAACAAATCCTATGCCGAAGAGAGAGAGAGAGTGAGAGAGAGAGAAACTGCCTCTCAAAGAGCCGCCTTTTGTCTTTGCTCCTTTTTTTCCCTCCAACCACGACGACAACGAAGGTACGACCTAGTTAAGGGCGATGTACTTGCACGGCCTCGTCTGCTTTTTTTCTCTACGCTCTATGCTTTGCTGAAAGAAGTGTCTCTTCTTCCCGAGCACTCGTGCACTCGTCGATGAGCTTTTTCTTTGGCTATGTGGGAAAGCTTTGTGGGCTGTCTCTTTTTCCTTATCCCTGTTTTTTTTTTCAATTGCTGTACTTTGGATGGATCATTGTACTGCAAGATTTGTTTTCTGCTCATAGAGAGAGAACAAACGAATTTTTCCGTGGCTGCGTGGTGGTTGTTCGAATGCGTCATACTCGTCACGCTCTCATCGTGTCGTTTGTCAAACAAAAGAATCGAGAGGCCGTCAAAGGTTTATCGATAAGTTTATCGGACTGAATAATCAAAAGAAAAGTGTCGCGTCGACTAAGAGGTGTTTTGGTCCACTTGAAAATCGATCGGCTCCCGGCCAACAGCTGTATATGCTCGCGTGGTGTGTGCTGGGACGCTTGCCAGGAACAATGTATTCCCATTAGTAAGTTTTCGGGGGCCTCTGTACTGCTGCGGCTGCTGCTGCTGCAGAAGTCCCTTAATTAATTTTAACGCGCTCCATACTCGCGCGCCAGCGCCGGCCCAAACTTTTAGCCCAACACCCTCATACGGCTAATGGGGCACGGGGCAGCAGCAGCGGCGTGGGCGCGAGTGAGAGGAAAAAAAGAGGGGCGCTACTGCTCACGTCGGAATTAGCATGAGCGAGTGGCGGCGAAGTTTTGCCGTTAACGGTTCTTCCTCTCTGTACTTCTCCTTCTTCTTCTTCTTCTTCTTCTTTTTCTTCCCTTGGAATGCTTCTTCGACTAGCATTTTGCTGACGAGGGAAGACGGTTTTTCGTAGATAAAGATGCTTTTCGAAGAAGGCCTATTTTACGATAATAGAAGCTCCTTTTGGACGACAGATAGGCAGTTTATTGCAACTAGCGAATGAACACTGCAGCACAGTAAATTTCTCTTATGCAAATAATATTTAGGATTCCCCTATGTAATAACCGTAATCCTCTTTGAGTCGGCCTATTCATTTAAATGACATTCGAGTGGTCATACGACTTCGGATTACAACTGGATTAGTACTTAATCTTACGAAAACCACTTACCTTCCGCCTGCCTTGGTTCATATTCATATTCAAAATAATATTCACTGCATATGCCTCTTATTATTAGAGAAAATATTTCATATACTTATTTCCATTTTTGGTAGTTTCATTTACTGATAATTATCCAAGTTCGATAGCAATTTACAAGCAACAAATATTTTAATTCTGAATGCATAATTCAATAGCGTACCATACTAACAAATAAAAGTCTATACCCATTGGATATGCGTTTCATTCTATGAATCAACGTGTTCTGCTTACGTCCGTCAGCACTGAAAATGGTTGACCGAGTTTTGGATAAGCATGACGCACGTTGACAACTCAAAGTTTTCATTTTTTTCAAAAGCAGCAGTTTCAAATGAATTGGTTTCCATTAACATTTAACAATGCCTTTGGTAATTTAAATAAATGATTGATGCACGGGCAACCACGCTAATGAATTTTCTATAAAAAGCGAACAACCAAGCGTCTGTAACAATATAGTTACTGAAGTCACTGAAGATAGTTGAAAAATGATTTCTTTTCGTAAGAGCAT